ATGAGCTACTCAACACATGCTTTCCCAAAGCTAGGAAAAACACAAACATTTCTCCTGATGAACTGGAATCTCCTGCCCCACTCTGGTCTGATAACAGGCGGCATCATTTCTATGCCTCTCTTTTTCTCCAATCAGCAGAAAGGGTGAGCCTAAAACTCAAGTTATTCAACTACAGGATCTTTGAAGGAGGGTCCTGGTTTTCTGGTTTAGTTTTATCCTACCCCCTTTTTATTGCACACCTTTGTTTTAATTTTTATTTTAATGCTTTAATTATTATAAGTTGCCAAGACAGCTTTTTGGAACTAAGAAGAGCTATGGAGCAAATGAGAGAATGAATGAGCCTCATACTATGATGCCATCAGTGAGATGCCACTCTTCAGAGTTTGGAAAGACTCATTATGTCTGAGGCCCTTCTCTCTGATACAGGTGTAAAGCACAAAGAATGTTTAGCAATACCAGCCAGAACAAACATTTGGGATCACACATAAATAGCAGAAACTATCCACAACTGACAACCACAGATCTATTAGATAGAAAGGCATGATATTCAAAGGGTAGAAAGAACTCTGAAGTCATGCAAGCAGCTGTAAGTAATGAAGTATCATATCAGGCAGAAGTACCAGTGACTATCAGTAATACCTAGAAATCATCAGCTCTGATCCTATTTCATGAAACCCACAGAGTGAAATGAGTGCATAGAGATAGCATCCAAAGATCCAAGGAAACTTAGCAGAGGCCTAGTCCCATGTAGACAGAAGGGGACTAGTCCCATGTAGACAGAAGGGGACAATTCCCATGTCTACAGAGCTACACTGGCCCCTGGGATGTAATTCAGAACCATGGCATGGCCTCCCAAATCTAGTGAACTGCACAGATTCCAGCTCAGAATGAGCAGTAATATGGGAGCCCAGAAGTAGTAGCAGGGCCACTATATGTGCCCAATGAGGAAAAGAGTCAAAGCCTCCAAATATGCTTCCTATTGTTGTTGGGTTTGGTCCAGGGACTGATAGGCTTGCTGTAGGTGGGAGTAGATTCCGCTCACTTTTGCTCAGGCAGAAGCAGAGGAGGGAATGAAGATGTGGCAAGTGCCTTCTCTATACTGGAGGAATTATAGCAGTGCCTATGCAATTCTTGTTCCAAAATTAACACTTCAAGAATATGTAGGCAACTTTTAAAAAATACCTCTTCAGTAGCTTTCCAAATCTGTGGAAACTACATTGTTTCCTATTAATTCCTATTCCTCTCCAAAAATGCTTGTAATATACATTTTTAATTAATTTTTCATTATACTTTAAGTTCTGGGATACATGTGCAGAATGTGCAGGTTTGTTACATAGGTATGCAAGTGCATGGTGGTTTGCTGCACCCATCAACATAAGGTATTTCTCCTAATGCTCTCCCTCCCCTAACTCCCCAAACTCCATCAGGCCTGGTGTGTGATGTTCCCCTCCTTGTGTCCACATGTTCTCATTGTTCAACTCCCACGTATGAGTGAAAACATGGTGGTGTTTGGTTTTCTGCTCCTGTGTTAGTTGCTGATAACACTTGCAATATTTTTAATAGTATGGATTTGTATATCCGTTTTAACACCGGTACAATTTTAAGGTTGTAGAAAAAGTATAGAATGTGTGCAATGTTATATAACTTTGAGAATCCTTATAAACGCATTTTAAAGACATAATTAACAATAGGAAATAACTAATACATTTCTTAGATACATAGAGAGATATGAGAAGGAGAGGATACAGTAAAGATCATGGCCATATTAAAATTAGGGCCACAGAGTCACCACAAATTATCAGAAATATTCTAAGTCAAGTATACATACACCTGACTATTTTCTTAGAATGATTTTAAAAGATTTAGCACAAAAATGGGTTTCATTTCAGAAAATCAAAATTACTGAACATTTTAAATGAACAATAGTATACAACTGACTACAACAAAAAATGAGGAAAAGTGTTGGAATTGAATCAACCGTAAATAATCTGTTAAATGTGAAGTATATTATATCTATATTAGCAAAATTCAAAAAAATGGTCTAAGACCCAATGAATTCATCAATGTTTTAAGCAGAAACACGAGGCCAAAGATAAAACTAAGTGGTAAATTTCACAAAGTAGACCTAGGTAATTTCAAATTGGCTGCTGTACTCTTCAAGGTAAAGGACACAAACCAGAGGTACCTGTACACATCTTTTGTAATTTTTATTTCAAGGAGACGGATCAAATTAAAAACTCCAAGAATGTTTTCTGCCTGGTAAGCATTCCAGCAACACACATAGGTACAGACTCAGACGCTTAGTCCAACAGTAACTCCAAGGAGGTTTTCCTGACACCGACAAGAGGGGGTGAGTTTGGGGTAAAAAAGAAAAAATAAATAAAGTATTTCCAGCCCATATATTGTAAACTCACCTATTCACATATTGGTGATATTTAGAAGCAGCCTAATAAAAATTATAAGACAACTGAGTTGTCACAATGTAACAAGAACACAAATTCACATTGAGCAACTTTTCTAGTAATGCCAACACAAAATCAAAATATAAATTTCCCTCAACATATCAGAAATAATATATATTCTATTTAGTTCCAAGAAAGAAAAAAAAACTTTTATAACTTGAGAAAACTCAAAATATGTGACAATCTGTCACTAAATTAAAATAAGCTATAGTAATAAGTGACTATGTAAAAACCCAACTGCAGCTATGCGTTCATCTTCACATACAAAGGCTATTTCTAAACGGGTCAGAGTAAAGCTTTGGCTGATACATGCTGATGGCAGAATAGGGCCAGAAATGAGCCAAAGCTGTGTGTATTCCAAAACTCACTGATATTTAAATCTGGAGTGGGTCTTTGTGCTTACATTTGAACATGTTGTGAGAACACGAGCCTCCTGTTGCTTTGTAGTAATACATGCTCATTCTTATAAAATGTTTGCCTTGTATGGTTAAGGTATTTTACTGAGGCTATAAAAGGAGGGCACATCACTTTGGTGGGGATAGAGGAGAATCAACACAACTATTTTGCTAGTGCATTACTGCTAACACACATCCCTCAAATAGAAGCATGACCTGACTGGGAAGCTTTAAGAGACAAGAGTAGTAGAGACATTGTCCTATGACTTGGGAATGGGAACAAGGTATTTCTCCCTAAGTATGTATTACTTCCCGTTAGCTGAAATAAGCACAAGAAATAACTAATGTTTTTCTCAGCTATAGAGACAGAGATAGGAAAGGATACAAAAAAAAAAAGACCATGGCAGTAATAAAAATTAGGAATACACAATCACCACAACTTACCAGAAGATGAGAAAGAAATACTCCGTCCACTAAACTACTGACATACACTGGAATATTTTATTAGATGAAGTTTTAAAGGATTTGGCACACAACTAGTTCTTATTTCAGAAAGTCAAAATTGATAAAACTTTTCAGTGAAAGGTAGTATACAATTGGCTATTATAATTGACTATCTAGTTCTTTGTACCCTCCACAAAACTGCAAGGTATTTTTTAACTTTTTATTTTAAGGTAATTAAAAATTCACAAAAACCTGCAAAGAAGTGTACAGGGAGTTCCTGTGTACCCTTCCTCTAGTCCCCACTCTCAATGTTAACATCTTGCAAAACGACAATATTAAAACCAGGAAACTGACAATGGTACAATCCATGGAGCTTTTCATAGAAGCCACAGATATTTCCCCAGCTATACATCCACAATCTGTGTTTGTGTATGTGTGCGTAACTCTATGCCATTATATCACATGTGTAGCTTTGAGTAACCCCTAGCACAATCAAGACACTTACTACACCATCACCATAAGACTCCCTAGTGCTACCACTTTATGTCCAAGCCACCCTGTCCTCTTCCCCTCCCTAACCCCTGGCTACCACTAATCTTTCTCTATAATGGTCTTATTTCAAGAAGGTTGTGTAAATGGAATCATTCACTAATGTATCTTTTTAAGACAGGTTTTTTTTTTCACTCAGCAAAATTTCTTCAGGTTCATCCAAGTTGTTGCCCGTAATAACAGTTCATTAGTCTTTATTGCTGTAGTCTATAGCATGCTCATATCACAGTCTGTCCAACCATTCACCCACTGATGGACATCTGGGTATTTCCAGGTTTTGGCTATTACAAATAAAGTTTCTGTGAACATTCATGTTCAAGTTTTTGTGTGAAAATTAAACTGCAACATTTTTGAGGGAATGAGGGGTATTTTATTCACCACTGTATTCTCAACACTTTATATGACACATAGTAGGTAATCAAAAAGGTCTGTTAAAGAAATCAATGAGTGAACCCAAAAAAATGCCTCTAAGTGGCAAAAAATAAAAAAAGGATTAATCTGTTGGGGAAAACCTTGTTGGCAGGAAAAGTACTGAGAAGAGGTCCTGAACAGGCACTGATAGTTTTAAGACTGCAGCAGTGTTTCAGAAAGATTTCCTACACACACACACAAACACACATCATTCAGAATATTTTAACATTTGTTTTAAATATTGAGCTTCAGATTAAGAAGCTGTTTGGATTAATAAGCTATAGCTGAACTTTTGAAGAAACAACTGGGGAGACTTCCATTTCTAGCCAAGATGGACTGAAAGGCACTGGACTCCCTCCACAACCAAAAATAAACCCTGACAAAATAAATGAAACAATGGTTGTCTAGACATGAGATATCAGACCACAAAGGACGTTGATCCCTGAAGGAGGTGAATCCTATGATGACGCTGGCTTACAGTCCTAAAGGTTTCTCCGCAGTGGCACAGGAGGGGCAACTAACTCAAAGGAGGCAAACTGCCTGAGTTGAGGAAACAGAGCTGAAGGTATGGGATAATGCAGTGGCTAGAGCTTTCAGGACAGAGTTCAGGAGAGAGCAGATGCGTAGACAACCATCCTTTGAAATCTGCAGAGAGTCACAGAGATCTGGATATATGTGTGAGGAAACTACCCAAGCCTGGGAAAAGAAACATCTGAAATAATTATAGGGGGAACAGTACCTGGCACCTTCCTAGGGCTGGAAATAGGCCTTTTGTCACCAGTCAGAATGGAAAATCTCTTAATTCATATGCAATTAGGTAAATCCTCAGTAGTGGGAAATGAGGTAGACTATGCGCTGCTCTGGTCTCTCCTAGCTAACATTTTAATCCTGAAAAAAGGAAAGCAAAAAGAGCCAAGTGAATCTTTCTATATCTAGCTGGTGGCATTACACCAAGAAACAATTCTAAATGACTTAAAACCTCAGTAATATATATCTTTACAGAGAAAAGACGGACAGTATACAGGATGTGTACATCACTACTGATGGTAGTAGTCCTGGTATTATTATTCTGAGCCTGTCGTAAGTATATTGTAGCATAAAGCAAGTAAGTTGCTAGTATCGTTAAGAATTAGGACTGTAGGATGGTCAGTTGGGGAGAAAGGACATTAATGCGATACAAGATTGATGTGACTACATTAAAAACCTGTTGGCCTGTTTACTGTTAGGAAGTATTAGTGTGAGCTCCTGATGTATTTAATCTTAAAATTAAACACACGCACACACACACACTTTTCCTAGCTCTTTCCTTTGAAAGGGCTTAGATTAAGGACTAAATCAGTAGCAATGAACTCACTAATTTCAAGATTATAGTTTTCAAGTACTATTTCCAAGACTAAAAAAAAAAAAAAAAAAAAACCTAAAATTTCTTGGATAATTGCCTGATTCCAGGTTTGGAAAGGAAATGTTAAAGATGAGGCTGTTATATTTTGTAATACCAATTATCATGAAAGCTCTCAAAAACTTGAAGTTCTTTCAAAAATACATAGGAACCAACAGAGAGAAACTTTGAGTAATCAGAGAGGTGGCAATCTGGGCATTCAAAATTATGATAACTGCAATAGATTGAATTACATCCATGTTCATAATAAAATTTTTAAAACCATTGGTAAACTTTAGAGGATGTTAAGGAACCACACATTATGTTATGAACTGATAAAGGGAGACAATCAAGCATCCATCCTGATTTTCTTATATAAATTGAAACTATAACACTAGTTTATAAAAGCATTCAACCCAATAAATAAACCGGAAATGACAGTTATATTGCCGTTTTTCAAGGTCTAAGGAATAAATGGATGTAGGCAATGATCAACACCACCTGCTAATGTCACAAAAAGAGAAAGAGCCAGTAGTCTTGCCCCCATCCCCTAAATGAATTTGATCAAGTTTCTAGAGCCTTTACTACCCATTAACAGGTAAGAAACAGGGCAGAGGAGTTCATTAAATGACTCTACAGGAATGCAGAAGCGAATTCAGACTATGGAAAGCTGTACAGCACAAATAATCCAGTTTCTTAAGAAATAAGGAAAAATAAACATAAACCTACAAATTAATAACCGATTACAATGTATGGGCCTTATTTGAATCCTGCTTCAAACAGTAAAGAATACAAAGCTTTAGGAGATGACCCGAAAATTTTGAATATTGGTTTTATATATTTGAGGATGTTTTAGATGTGGTTCATTTTTCAGTTAAAAAAATAATCTTTTAAAGATACAAACTGAAGTGCTGCCAGATAAAATGATGTCATGTCTGGGATTTGCTTCAGAATAATTTGAGGTGGAAGTAGAAAGTGGAAACAACAACGGTGAAACAAACTGGCCCATGAGATGACAGCTGTTGAAAGTAGGTATGGTTATACAAAAGTTCATTACTTTTTTCCCTCTGCTTTTCTAATATATTCCGAATTTTCATAGCAAAAAGGTAAATACACTTAAAAGTACACAAATCTATACTAGTTTGGGGAGGTGATTGGGGACTCAGAAGTTACAGTCCGTATTTCTGATTGAAAGTAATTTCTCAAACATGCAGATATCAGAGATATGTAGGATTCCCTCAATGGAGAACCATGTTTTCTCTGCACAGAGCATTGGTTTCTGAGCAAGGGTAGGCCATTTCTCTGAAAACAGATCTGGCAATATGAAAGTGGTTATCTACTTAACTGAAGATACCAAAAGAAAAAAAGAAGACCAAAAAACTGGGTCTACACATGTGGTTGTTGGTTCTTCTTGTTTTTTTTTCAAATAAGGAGCAGTCTAATAGAGCATGTGACTGCTACCCTTCCAAGAGTATCTTTGCAAATAAGTACAACCCATACAATTCAATTGTCCATCCCACCTTCTTTGTTTGTTTATTGATCTTCAACAGCAGTTTCACCTCATGCTTTTTGGTTTTTTCATTCTGAGGCAAGGAAGAGGGATCTTTTGAGATGTCAAAAAAGTTTTCTGATGTCAGATAATTCATTGGAAAGTATGTTTTATCCAGAATCCTACAGTTTTTCTGCATGAAGGAACACTGAGTAGCTTGTCCAAGATTTTGTCGAAGGAAGTCTCTTCTCTCTCACTTATCTGAATCCCATCCTTCCTTCCAAAAGAATATGCCCAGGTCCAACAAATGGAGTTTAAGGATGAATGCCTTCCATTTAAAAAAATATTTCTCAGAGTGTCTAGCGTTCAATATCCCACAAATATTCGGCATTCAAGATATGAGTTTACTGACTTTTAAAATCTATATAAATTTTAAATTTTCAATATTATTTTATAGGCAATTATTCTGTTTATAATATTACTCTCTAGCATTATTATAAAAGTATCATCATAAATCCTAATGATCATTTTCACTAAATGCCTGAGAAGGTCACAGGAGATTCAAACTGATGTGTGCTTTGGGAGCAGAATCAACTTTTGGAGAAACAAGGCTAGCACTTTTTGAGGCCGATTACATTTTTTGAGATGGAGTTTTGCTCTTGTTGCCCAGGCTGGAGTGTAATGGCACAATCTTGGTTCACTGCAGCCGCCACATCCTGGGTTCAAGCAATCCTTCTGGCTCAGCCTCTCAAGTAGCTGGGATTACAGGTGTCTGCCACCATGCCCGGCCAATTTTGTATTTTTAGTAGAGACAGAATTTCACCATGTTGGGCAGGCTTGTCTTGAACTCCTGACCTCAGGTGATCCACCCGCCTCAGCATCCCAAAGTGCTGAGATTACAGGCGTGAGCCACTGTACCTGGCCAATTGTAACTAAACTTTTAAAAAGATTTGTCTCCATAGTTAGAATTTGCATGAGCGTATTTATTTTTTTATGCAGTCTTGTTTACAATGGCCATTTTCAAAGTTGCTACCCCAAGCTTATAAAGCAATTTTATAATGTCTTTCTGTCGACCATATGAAAAGCATTTGTCTCTGAGGAAATATCATAAATTTTACTGTAATGATAATTCAAATATTAAAGTAAACATAAAAAATTATATCATATGACAAAATACCAAAAAAAAAAAAAAAGAATAGAAAATCTCTGCAGGAGAGTATTTAATTTCTAATGAAAACAAAACAGTACTCTTTACAATTTGGCCTATTACATGACAGTACTTCTCAAAATCCTGCTAAATTAATGTTGCAACACAGTTTGTCAGGCACTGATGATTTTAGTTATGGTCAGTGGTAGTTGACATACAGAGAAGAAATAACTGACAGAGATATCAAATCTATATATATTTGACTCTCTCCACATTTCTAAGTAATCTAGACCAGAACTAGGTTGTTTATATGGTAGCCACTAGTTATGTGTGAGCTACTTATATTTAAATTAATTAAATGTAAATAAAATTTTAAATTAAGTTTTGCTGTTGCACTAGCCACGTGTCAAGTACTGAACAGCCACATATGGTCAGTGAGTGCCACATCAGGCAGTGCAGATATGGAACATGTCCATTATCACAGAAAGTTCTAGTTAGCAAAGTCGGCCCACATTAGAGAGGCTACTACTGATGAATGGAAAATCTCAAATATATACATAAAATATATTTCTATAGCAGTTTGCCTTCTGTTATAGGAGGTTTCATTAAATATGTCAAATTTAAATGTTTTTTCTAGAAAAATCTATATTCTAATGTAAACAGTTAAAATTGTACCATGAGCACTGTACTGTAGGTTTTCATTTTCCCCATATTACAAGGACAACAAATTTCAAAAGATTCCATTTTCTCAAGATAGTGAATTACAATGTTACCTGGTCTTTTCCTTCAGTTAGCATTTTCTTTCTTTATAAAGGTCTATTCTAATCCCTCTCTGCTTCCAGCTTTACTCAGCAAAACCCACCTTTATTATGCAGCAAGGATTTCCTACTTTAGACGGTAGTACTTCTGGCCTCAAACTCCACACTTGTGAAGTTTGTAAGTTACATAAAAAATTAAATTCCTAGCCAGACCTTCCTAATAGGTGAGGAGGCCCTTGGGCCTTTCCAAAGTTCCAGGAAATTCCTTAGTCTGACACAACTTTTCTCAATTCAGAAAGATGCATTTTGTGACATATATTAAAAGGCAGAAATACGTGAATGCATAAACAATAGAATTTGACATAATTATGTGATAAAGTGAAATGCTCCTGCAGTTAGATATTGAACATGAAAGGCCTCTCTAATTTTTCAGAGAAACTGTGAGATAATCTCTACCATTTATGCTTAGCAAGGAGCCATGCTGTAGAGGAAAAGTAGAAATACACACAAGTGACAAAAGCAAACAAAATACATATATATAAAAAACTCTCAAACCACCCTCGATGAAAGGTAATATGTCTGTATTGAAAGATTAGGTAAATGATATAGTGAATATAAAAGGCAAAATATGAGGTCTATAATTACATGAGTATATAGAAGATGTTAAGTATCTTCGTGAAAAAGTATACAAACAATAATGAATAATCATTTCATATTGAAATAATTTAATTTTAAAAGTAGACAGTACAAATATGAAAAAACAATGAAGTCCATCTAAGGAAATAGTCGAAATTTCAAATATTTTAGGAATGGCTTTCTCCAGAGTAGCATGTTATTTAGAAACTAAATTTCCGCAGTAGATTTCATAGCTCATGAAAATGAATTAAAACTTTGATATTAGCTGCAGAAATGTACATTAGTTTGGGTGAGGGGAGAAGAAAATAATGTGCCAACCTCCCAACCCTTTCCCCAAACAGATTTTTGCATCTTGGTAATTACACTTGCTTTCAAGATTCTTTTCTTGGTTTAAACATGTAATCTTGTCTCTTTGCTCACTTACTCACTCTTCAAGCAAGCCTACAGCCAAATAAATTGCCATAAATGTTTACTGATAAACCATTATTTTCCAAGAAATTTTTCTTAATTTTTAACATTTAACAAGTTTAACTGCAATTCAGAAACCTCTCCCGGCACAAGGGCTCTGAAACATTGTTTGGGTCTTGGAAAAGTTTGAAACTCTCAATTCATTAGGACTTTGAGTAGCTGTTTTGTACCTAAGAATGAGAACTGTTAGAGAGGTTGGGACTAAACACATAATTTTATGAAATATGACGAAAGGTGAGAGTTTTGTTATGGCACACATAACAATCAAGAACCTGTTTCTTTTTAGTAAGCTCCTAAAAAGTACCTCCCTTATAATTATTAAATAAAAACACTCACTTATTCAGTACTCAGCTAGCTTTTAAACTCTGAATAACAGAAGTACACAGTGATAGAGAGGTACTTACATGGTTTCCTTGGATACTGGATGATGCCATTCAGGTCTCTGTTTTTATCTGAAAGTGGTGCCCTGTGGAGAAACGAGGCTTGGTGAGTGGCTGTTTATACATAGTAAGTAAATAGGAACTTTGTTCATTTGACAAAGCATTTTTTATTTTGACCAAGCTTTCCTTTCTCATCACACCCAACTCCTGTAAACAGCAATAATATGATAGAACAGGTACTCTGTACAGCTCTTTTTAAGTCCACTTAAGAAATCATAATTATTAAGGCAGAAGCTTGGAATGCTTTGACTAAGCGTGTTACTCCTTGGGCTTCTTTATATATCTTGACTATTTTGTTTACTTCAGGCATATTAATGAATATTGCCTGCCTCTCTATTTTCCTCAAAAGGAATATTTCTCAAGCCACTAATAAAGAAATTAGACTACAACATTCACATAAATGATAAATGTCCTTACCTTAACCAAAAGATAAGAGAAATCAAGCTTTAGCCAGTTTCTAAACATGAAGGGTTTCCCCAGACCTTAGCTGCCATTTTAAAAGCTCTTGTGGTTCCCTAGATCCCCAATGGTTTTAGTGCAATGAGCACACAATTTTGACATTCAGTCCCTCAGAACTGCACACATTCTAATTTTGGCAGTATGATTAATCCCTCCTATGTGATAAGTTATTTAACCTTCTAATATTTCTTAGAATCGAAAAGAACAAATGAGCTGCAGCAAAGAATGGCAAATAACTCTAATGCTTAACACAATTTAATAACCTGAAATGAAGTAAGTATGTGCTATGTTTCCATTAAAAAGTTTCCAGCCACAATTAATTGAACGAAAACTTGTCTTGTTCCAAGATTATTCTTGGAAATGTAATTTTAAAATCTGCTTGAAATGAGGAAACTTACTTTTTTATACCATATGAAAGCAATTTCATTTTTTAGGAATGATTTTTGGATAGACTTCCTATTGGATATTTTCCATTGGAACTAGCAGCATAGGGGGTCGGGAGGGGGGGGAGGGGAGGGAAGCAGTTCTGTGTTCTTTTGCCAGCACTGACAAAGGTCTGGTTGTCAGTGATACCTTTACAGCTAAATTTACTCCAGAGTGACAGAAACAGGTGCACCTCGGCCTGCCAGACACTTGTGCAGAGGGATCACGCATCTCACGGCTTGACGATCAAGGGGGCAAAGCCTCGGTCTTCATAGAAAAGGAGAGGAGGCAAACGCAGCCCAAACTGGGGGGTTTCTCTTCAAAGCCAGCTGGTCTGGCTTTATTCTACAGGAATTTTTTTACCTGTCAGAGTTTGGACAACAAAGCCCTCAGCAGGTGCTGACGGGTACAACTTCCTGGAGAAGCAGAAAGGCACTGGTGAGTTTTAATTGCCAAAATGTATTTTTTAATCTCTAAAAGTTAATTTCGTTGTCTTGAAAGAGGCACCACTGAGGTACCTGTGTTCACAAAGTTGATGAGACCATTGGAATCAGAGCCAACTCACTCAACAGTAGGTTTGCCTGGTGTGAAAGTAAAGCTGCTACCATGTACAAATTTTTAGACTTTTGTTTTTAGGTTTTAAAAAAAAAATTCTATTTTTAATATTGGTCTCTTTCATTATTGTTTTCAATATTTGGAAGATGAAAAGCTAATTACATATGTAATATTAGACTAACACATAACATTTTAGTCTCTTTTTTATCTAATTATGTCTAATCTTTTCTGAATAAAAGTTATTTTCTAATAAATCTCCCAAATAAGAAGGTGCAATGGTACACACTTTTCAAAAATTACATATGCTGCATTTTTTAAATGTGTGCATGTTACAAGAACATGATTAGAGATAATATGCAATTAACTTTAATATATTTTTAAAATACATATTGCATGTATAATTTAAAAACTTAAAACATTGCATGTTTAATAAATAATAGTACATTGTATTATAGTAAATATTATTTAATAATTAAAAGTGGCAATATTTTCTCATTACTTTAAAGAGTTTCTTTCGAGAAAAATCTTTGAAATAAACAACCAAGACAGTACTAAAGCGTGTTTTTACGTCATTGACTTCCAAAATTAGTACATTTATATATTTTTTATTTTTATTTTGTGAATTCAAAAGTTTAGGCAAAAATATTTTTTTCAGAATAGGATTTTAATTAATGCAAAACATGAAAAAATGAGACCACATGTTAGGACATATTTTTAAAAAGTGATTCTATTTCAGGGACTCATTCTTTTAACTATGCTTCACAGCATTTCTCTACAAATTGTTGTATTATAGTAAATTGAAAACATTTATTTAAGCAAGTAAGCAGCTCAAAGCTAGAGCCTATACATAGTAAACATATGAAACCATTTTAATAACCAAATTCCATATTCACAAGCAACATGGGCTAATGAATTTAAAAGACACAACAGTATACATTGATCAAGAATGTTATAAATTATTATGCATAAAATCAGTTTTCTTGGCTGTGGGGGGTAGTATTGGTGCTTAAGAAAGAAAAGACTCCTACCAATATAAATTACTATGAGGCAATTGTTTTATTATGATGATCCCATAAATAACTTTCAATCTACATCCTTAATATATAGTTGTATAGTGGAAAAAAATGAGATCTGACTTTTTTAGTGACCGCTGTACCTGAAATAATTTTTAAATCAATGACAACGTAAATATGCCACAAATGTAAGCTATCATACTCTTTTAAACTGTCGTAATTACTGCTGAAAATCAGAAAATATTTGTGGTTTAAAAAATTATCAGAAATGGTCCACCCAAACAAAATATCTAATATTTTTAAAACATAATCTTATCCACAAACACTTTATGCACCCGTATTTTAAAAAATTAAAACCCAAATATACTTTTATTATAAATGTTACAAACAAAATATATTTCAAATGATTAAAACATTTAAAAATACATATGTATTTATTGCTGTTTCAAGCTGCTACTTTCAGATGATATTTTGTCATGTTTCATTATATTGATTCAGCCACCTGAGTAACTATAGTTGCTAAATTTTTAGAATAACTTCATTTGTCTCTGAAAAAATTAGTATATCTTTCATTCACTTGAAAATTTTACTTTTATTTTTCTAGTCTGTTAAATACTCTATTCCTGAACAATCACATCATTGACTTTTAAAGATGATGGTTATTGCAAAACTGAACAACATGTGCTCCTATGTTGACTTCAGAATTATATTTGTTAAATTTTCATGTGCATTACTATTGGCTATAATTATTACATTGTCACTAACATTAAGTGTAAGCAAGCCAAAAGCTTCTGCCAAACTATTGTTTATGACTCTGTCAATTATTTAAGTGTAAATGAACCTATTGGAAATAATGTTAGATATAGCTCAAATATTTCAAAATAACTAAAATGTATTATTTTAACTATGCCTGAAATGTAGACTTACTCTAAAATCCTATTTTTTTCATTATGAAAAGAAGCTATAAATTCTTGTTCACATGCAGCTATGTTTGTCCTTTCTAATAAATCTTCAACATTGTTTCACCAAAATACCTATGCCAACTCCCTCAATGTATAGGAATAGTTTTTGAATAAAATATTGGAGTTTAAAGTAACATCGATTTATACCTGCTCTAAATTTTTAACGTTAAAATATACGCATTTCAAGCATTAGTTGCAAGATATCTTCCTGTCTTAAAGATAGTTTATTTCCAGTGGAGAAAATTGTTTTCCTGTTTCAAAAAGACACTTGGAAAAACATTTTGTTTTACCTTATATATTAATAGAAAAAAATCTTGATTCTTCCAGTAATTAATGTCAACTAATTATATTGTGAATATTAGCCTATTTAATTTCAGTACAACAAAGTTTCCAGCTAAAATGGTTTACTTGTATTTAAAGCAACAAAGTATTTTGGCAGCTTTATATGTATCTCCTCATTGACCAGCCACCTGACTGACAGCTGTCAACTGTCCATGTGCCAAATGTAACCCAGTAAAGATAAAAATTACATATTACTCATCCCTGTTGATAATACCTGGTGCCAGTAGGTTTTCAAATAGGAATAACTAGACTCTAGATAAAAAACAAGTAAGTGAGGAATCATTTCTACTGCCTACCATTCCTCCTTTGTCGGTAACTCATTTCCCCTTCTTTTTCTGATTGATCCCTTTTCCCTCAATGTCCATATCTACAAAGTTATTTTCTTAAAGAAACTTCCAGAGTATGTTACAAGTCTGTGTCCATGAAAATACTGGGCAGCCAGGTAATGATGCCCACACATTTCTTTTAGTCATATTTTCTTTTGAGCTCCTAAACTCTTTCAGAATTATGGGAAAAAAGCTTTAAAGCTTTCAACTTCTCATTTTCAAAGAAAATAAAATCCAAGAACAAAAATGAAATTTACCAAAGGTCCCCAAGGTAGCTCTGTAGATACAGACTTGGGTCTGTCTCCCAAATTAAGAGCCAGTGATTTTTTTTGTAATTAGACTTTAAACATATTGAGTATTAAACTATAAGTAACAATGATCACATGGAAAATTAATGTGAATTACATTCCTTTGAAGAACGCTTTTCAATCACCAACCTTGTTAGAGAAATACACATTTTTATCACAGCATATTGAAATGTAGGTCTAAAAGAATATAAGACTATATATATACTAAAACATCTATGGTACAAACTTTTTTGTTTGTTCTACCATTTAAATGGATTTCCAAACTGGAAATATTTATGAATATATATGAAATAGCAGAAATAAAAAATAATCAAAGGTAATACATATATTTGGAAGATAAACGTAGAAATCAAAAATACAGGTTGGAATATGGGATTTTTTTAAGATTTGGAGTAATTAAAAATACTAAATATTCTAACACATAAGCATAAGTATATATTCAAGTGCATAATACATTATATAGTTCATATAACTGACTTAACTGACTAGCATGCGTGTGTGTGTGTGTGTGTGTGTGTGAATTAAAAAAACCTCACTGGATCCCAGAGGCCACAACAGCAAGTATTTCCTAACAGCTCAGAAATTCTACCATTTGATAATCCTGTATTAATATAACAATCTTATATAATTCCAAAATTATTAATTATATTAGTAAGTATTGGATATGTATATAATTTGTTGATAATATTTGTGCAATATATTAAACCAGTGAAGGTTATGAAAATATTAATATTCAAGCCAAATATTTGTCCTATGGATCTCCAGAAAAGAAATTGTTTAGTTGAAATCTACCACATTCTGAATTTAAAAGAATGTATCTTAGTCCTGGGCTTTGGAGCAGTACTTGCTTATAAGAAATGTCAGCTTTAAAACTCAGACGTACAAATTAATAAGAAAAAAAGAGGGGGTAAAGCTTAAAATATTGAGATAAAATATGGGAGGAAATTGTGGCCAGGGTTCCTCTGCAAGGGATTTATCTAAAATAATCAACATTTTAAAGTCTAACAACATCGTTTAGCAACTAAATTGTATATCTAAATTTGAAAATGTATTTGCTTATTCCATTACATTTAGTCCAAATCAACGTTAGTCATTAATCAACAAACCATTTAACAATATGCAATAACAGTATGCAAATCAATTGCAAGCAAAATAATCAGTAAATAACATCC